GCAGCACACAGACTGTCTAGTTGTTGTGCAGTGTGGCCTCAGTAGTTGCGGCACGCAGGCTTAGTTGCCCGCGGCATGTGGGAATCTTAGTTCCTCGACCAGGGATCGAACCCACGTCCCCTGCATTAGAAGGCAGACTCTTTATTTTTTCTTTTTTAATATTTATTTATTTATTTGGTTGTGCTGCGTCTTAGTTGTGGCAGGTGGGCTCCTTAGTTGTGGCTCACAGGCTCCTTAGTTGTGGCATGCGAACTCTTAGTTGTGGCATGCACGTGGGATCTAGTTCCCTGACCAGGGACTGAACCCCAGCCCCCAGCATTGGGAGCATGGAGTCAACCACTGAGCCACCAGGGACGTCCCGGAAGGTGGATTCTTAACCACTGGACCACCAGGGAAGTCCCAGGAGCATCCCATTCTTAAATAGCTTCCCTTGAGTTACAGAGCACATCCAAGTGTGAGCTAAGAGGCAAGTCCTATAAGCTACTTCTTGCTGCCTCCATGATACAGTTTTCTCTCCTGTGCTCCATAACTTTGGCTGGCTCCCTTTTTTACTCTGCCAGCTTCCCTAGCATCCTCTCCCACCCTTCCCTTTCTCATGTCCTCCATCCAGCCTTGCTGATCCTGCGTGGGCCTTTGCACAGGCTGTCTCCCTGCCTAGAATGCCCTTTCCCCTGCATCCAAGCCACAGCACCCCTCAACGTAAAGCTTCTAAATACAAGCTAAATTAAAACCTAAATTCCTGTGCGTTTCTGCGTGGCCCAGCCCTTGCCAATTCTCCAGCTGTGTGACAACAGGCAAGTGATTTCATGTCTCTGAGCCTCACTGTCCTCCCATGTGAAATGCAGATGATGGCACTCTGCAGAGCAAGCTCTTGGGAAGATTAAATAGATAATGCATGTAAAGCACTTAGCTCAGCGCCTGCTTCCTCGCAAGCACTCAATAACTGTTAGGGAAGCAAAACCCTACATCGAGATGTTAGTTTTCATGGCTTGCTTTTCTGCACTGCCTTATATGGAATCTTAGTCAATCCAGGGTACCCACATTGCATGAAGGTGAACTCGGGCCATTGGGAGCTGGAAGGCAAAGAGGAAAACCATCCAGGGCCCGTCTTTGACTTCCAAACCAGGCCCTCATCAGACAGAGTTTTGAAAGGCAAAGCAAGAACCAGGTTTGATTATGAAGCGAAAGGGAAGAACCCGATGGGAGCCAGAAACACCAGACATGGAGCTCACTCCTTACGACCGAATAAGAGGTTAGATGAGGACCCAGGCCCCTCAGCCCCCCACCGCAGGCTGAGTGTGGGGTGGAAGGTAGGACGGGGCGGACTGCCGGACTGCCAAGGAGGCTGGAGTTGAGGGGGCAGGGACCCAGGGGGATGGATCTAGGGTATGGTGGGGCAGAGCCAACCGTCCAGTCCCCACCACAACAACCACCACGCTGAAGGGACATCTGGGGCAGGCCTTCCAGTGACACCAGAATGCCCTGAGACTTGGCTGAGCTCCAGCTAAACTGCCTCACAGAGCCCCCCGCTACCCGCTGTCCAAAAGCCCAGGACACTTACAGCCCCAATCTACTCCACAATAAAAGAGAAGGATTCCCCAACCTCTAGGGGTCAGTGGCTGCAGAAGAGATACAGCTGGCTTTTCTTTTTGGTGGCCCAGCATTTGGAGGCTGGGGAATCCCCATAATGGGAATTCAGCCTCTCCAATGACAACAGAGGCTCCAAAGCCAATGGTGTGATCAGTCAAATTACGGGCCTCAGTTCCCCTTCGTTTCTGTGTCCCACCCTTTGCCACACTGCTGTGCATTCTTCCTGCCTAAGGTAGGGGATATTTACCCAGCCCTGATTTTGAGCACATCATTTGCTTTGACCAAAGGAATATGGGTAGAAGTAGCAGCACAAGAGTTCCGAATCTGGACCTTAGGAAGCCTCATGTGATCCCACTTGTCCTCTGGCACCATTGTAAGAGGAGAACATAGGTTGACTAGCTGCTGGTCCCAGGAAGATGCAAGGTAGGTGGAGCTGAACTTCCTGGTTACTCCACAGTCTTGCACCTGGAAGCAGAGCTGCTCAGCCAAGGGAAGCCTAGAACAAATACCCCACCCCAGCTGAGTCACAGACATGTGAAAAATATTTTTGCATGCCATTGAGACTTGGGGTTGCTTGTTACACAGCAGCAGCAGCTGACTAATACACTGAGGTACTAACTTTCCCCACTCCCTAGGGCATTGGAGCAGGACATGCTGGGCCAACACGATGTTTCCAAGTGATGCAAAGACACAGCATTGGGGCAGGAGCATGTGGTTTCCAGGGGCAGCTATGGCGGAGTACCAATGGCAGTGCCAGTTGAGGCATCTGGATTCTGTGGTGGTGGCAGAAGTGACCTCACCAACCAGTTCCCTGGCATGATGTCAGCTAATCACCCTCGCCTCCTTGATTTCTACCACTTTCTGAGTCTGGTTTTCCAGCCTTCCTGCCACTTTTGTGAGGAACTGAACAGACTTCCAATGCACATTTTTGCTATTTAATTTGGCTGGTGTTTCCGCTGCTTGCAAATTAAAACCTTGACTTACATAAGATGGGGAAACCCCAGCATCTGTTACATTTATATTATAATTTTGGAACTGTTTGGGTTACAATTAGCAGAATATCTGACCACTAGTATCTTAAGTGGCACAGACATTGTGATTTTTCATAAAAAGGAGTCTGGAGGTAAGAGGTTCCAGGGTGGGACTGGTGCCCCCATGGTTTCAGGGCTCTGGGAGGCAGCATCACTGTGCCCGTCTTAACTTGCTCCTCATGGCCACAAGATGGCTACAGAAGCTCCTGGCATCATGTCCTCGTAGGAAACAGTAAGGGAGGGAAGGGGGCAATAAAACCTTTCCTGTGTCCAGAAACCCCTACCCCAGACCTCCCCTTAAAACTTGCTGGCCAGAACTGGGAAATGTGCCCAGATCGAGAAAAACCCCCACAAAAGACGTTGCCAAGAATGGCTCAGCCAAATCCTAAATTAACCCCCGAGGCTGGGCACCGAACCATGGCTCTGTTGGTGAGGAGGGTGAAATGATCGCCGGGATGGCAACAAGCGGGGTCAGCCACAAGAATTAAGCTGGGCCCTTTGTTGTGGGCAGGAGCACGGCTTCGTGGCCCTCTTGCCCTGGGGGTCTGCAGGCCAATGGTGCCCACGGATCCTGGAGTGGATGAGACTCTGCTCCCACCGCCCCACCCCAAAAGCTGTCATTTGTGCAACAAACATTCAGGCTGTGCCTCCTGGGACACATGGCCAGGTGCCCCTAATAAAACTGATGTGCCGAGGCTCCACCATGAGAAGCAAAAGCTCCAGGGCCCGTGAGAACAGAGGGGCTGGAGCTGCGTTCTCAGAGATGAAGCCAGGGGCGGGTTTCCAAGCTGGCCAGGTCTGGGGCAGATTCCCACCTCACACGGCTCCCCCGAGGCCCCCTTGGCCCTCGCTCACTGTGAGGCCCCAGAAGTCACACTTGGCCTCCCTCTCGCGGGCCTCCATCCCACCGTCCCAGGAGATGGCGTTTTCCCACGGCCCAAGCCCAGGTGCAGAGGGAGGCTCCTGCCGGCCACATCCAGGGCCACGGTGGGAAAGCAGGATATCTGGAAGCAGACGGGCTCTCCACAAGCTCAGTCCCTACGTGCCCAAGCTGCCCTGGGCCAAAGGTGAAGGAGGTGATGAGGTGATGAGCTCCAGACCCCTTCAGGGTGCTGTGCAGAGGAGGGCCAGGCTAGTCCAGGAGCATGTACACATGTGAGCTGTGTGTTTAATTGTGCGTGAGTGAGCATGTGAGTACGTTACACGGCCTATGAACAAGGCTACCTGTGAGTGTGACCACGTGGATGTGGGTGTCAGATGCACGAGTGCAGGTGTGCGTGTAAGCGTCTGCGTGCCTGTGTGCACGCATGTTCCGCCTCCCTCTGAAGGACACAAATGTGCACAAAGTGAAGATGCAAGCCAGTTTCTGCTAAATTAAAAACAGCTTTTTCGTGTTTAAAGTTTACAATACGAAAAATAATTTTCCTTTCTTCCGGGGGGGTGTGGGTGTGGAGAGGGAGGGGCAGGGGGCCCCTGAGAACATTCCATGAACCAGCCCAGACAGTTATGCACAATCGACCCAGTTAGATATGGCAGCACCTCCCCGCCCCCAACTCCGCGCCGGCGCCCCTGCCAGCTCGTTGGGGACAAGATGTTCTGAGGTGTGAGCTGATCTGGGGGGACTTGCAGCCGGCAAAGGCTTCTCCCTTCCCCCCCCACCCCGAAGGGGCCGTGCCTCCAGCAGGGAAGGGTTCTCTTTGGGGGAGCTCAGGTTGGGGGTGATGAGAAGGGGCTAGAATGTTCCAGTAAGTCCCTGAGGGCTGCTGTTTTTTCACTTCTATGCCCCTGGCAGTGTGGGCTCCTTACTGGTTCCCAACCAAGTTCTTATTTCCACCCTGCACCCCCATACACACACCCAGCCTCACCCCAGGCCCCGACGGCCACTGCACAGGAGCACCAGGCCTGTGGATACGTTTTGAGGATGATCCCGGAAGCCCCACAGGGAAGCACAGTGACTTCATGCTTCCTTTAGGACCTGCCCTGCTCCTCCCCTATCACAGCCTCTGCGGAGGGGGGCTCCCCAGCTTCCCAACCTGGAGTCCCAGGACTGAGCAGATGGAGACAGAACCTGCCAGGGGCTGTGGGGCTGGCTGATGGCAGGGGGCCGGGTCACCAGGCGCAAGGAACCACCTGGAAAGAGTCTCTGGAAGGCTGCCTTGCCCCGGCTGGTTGCCCTCTGTCTTCCAGGTGCCGGGTAGAAGGACGTCCTAGCCTCCTTTCCTGTTGCCCCCAGGCCTCTGAGCCAAAGGCCGGCCCCACTTCCGGCTCCTCTGCAATGCTGGAAAAGGGCGAGGGGGGAGAGGAGCCCCCAAACATGCAAGGACACGAGGAATCTGCGACCCATCAAGCCCACAAGCTCAGCACTGGGCCCACTCCATCTTTTTACCATAACATTTTTATTAAATAAAAGGAAAGTATTAGGAGACAACGTCTGCTAAGGTATGAGGTTAATTATTTACATGGCGAGCGGGTCACAGAGACACGACATCAATCGTCCATTAGCAGCAGAAGAGACACTTTAAGTTGCCCCGAGGGTACAAATCCCATTTATAAGACAGTGGTGCTGGCCTCTTAAAAAAAAGCAGAAGAGAACAACAACAAAAAAAAATGGTTTTGAGGTTTAGACACCAAAGCAAATGTGGCTGGAGATGCCACAAAGCCCTTGAAGTCAGAGGCCTCACAGCCCGCCTGACTTCCCACGCAGGGTGGGCACAGGCCTGCGGCATGTCAACCTGAACACAGGGTTGGGGGGAGCAGAGGGCTGGAAAGAGGGGGAGAAATAAAAAGCACGGGACAGGCCTGTGGAATGCAGATGCACTGTGAGATTCTGAAGCAGGCGTCCCCTTTCATTCATGGGACCGGGACAGGGATGAGGAGAGTCAGCCCGTTCTTATTAAGGCCCCACACATCACCCAGGGCCAAACGGGAAGGCCTGATGCCCGTAAGGACGGTCTCTGGGAGCTGGCTGTGTTGTTTTTCCTCCTGAAAGCGGATGACAGAACACCCTGAAGGTGCTAAGACCCAGGCCAGGAATAGAAATGAGTGCCGGCTCCCTCCTGCCCAGCAGCTCAGGCTTCTTGGGGAGGCGGAAACGTGCCCTTCTGGCCAACCCGAGCCAGGTACTTGCCAGCCGCTTCTCCTGCTCCTGGAGGTCCATATGTTAGAGACTTGGGGTATGTTTATTTTAAAAAGGACGCATGCAACTCATGGGGGTTGGGGGGAATTTGGGGATCAACCGGGAACGAGTTCGTATCTGCATTTCTCAGACCTCCAGGCAGGGGGAGGGGAGAGAAGTGGGGCAAAGCCACACCACGACGCCCCAAAGGAGACCCCGATTCCCGCCCGCCAGGCAGCCAGCGAGAACTGAAGGTGGGCGAGGAAACCGCCTTGGGTGTGAGTTTGCTGCCACATCAGCCTTGTTGCTGGCAGCCTCCCCCACTGGGCACAGAGCCAGAATCTGCTTCAGGAAGGAGGGGGGGGGGTGAGGAGGGTGCCTTATGCGAGACCAGCCCGCGGGGGTGGGGATTTGAAGTTCCCCGCCCAGACACGCACCCGCCAAGCCCCTCGCAGAAACAGCAGGCGGCCAGGCCGGGAACCGGGGTCTGGGGAGCTACCTCCTGGTCCTGGCCCGGGGCAGCAGGACGGGGGCACAGGCGATGCCGGCAAAGGACTCCGGGAAGTGCAGGTCGCGCTCCCACTCATCCGTCTCGGTGTTGTACACCTGCACGATGCCTGTCACGTTGTTGAGACGCCAGTTGTAGCCCCCTACGATGTAGATCTTCCTGTCCAGCAGGCAGCAGCCGGCCTCTGACTGTCCAGCCCGCATGGGGCTCACACTGGTCCACTGGTCCGTCTCGGGCACGTAGTACTCCACAGCCAGCACGTCGAAGCAGCGGTCAACGTGGTCCATGCGGCCACCGAGGGCGTAGATGCGGCCGCCAGCGCCCACCATGGCGTGGAGCACTCGGGGCTCGCTCATGGGAGCCTTGAACTCCCACTGGTCGGCCTCGGGGTCGTAGCAGTGCAGGGCCTTCTTGTCCTCCACCGAAATGCCGTAGCCGCCCGAGATGTAGAGGCGGCCCCCAGACGAGGCACCCGCGTGGCCCCACGTGCGGCGCTTCAGTGAACAGGCGTAGCCCCACTCATTGCGCCGCGGGCAGTACCTCTCAACTGAGGCCAGGCTGCCGGCCCGGTTGCGGCCACCTGTGGCGTATACCATGCCGCACAGCACGTTCAACTGGAACTGGATTCGGCTCTCCTGCATGGCCTGCAGGCGCAGCCAGCGGTTCAGGTGGGGGTCGTAGCGGTAGCAGGAGTCCACGGCACCCTCGCCACTGCGGTACTGCAGGTGCTGACCCCCGGCCACGTACACGAAGTTGTCCAGCACGGCTACGCACGTGTGGCTGCAGCCCACCTCCATCTCCGTCAGCTCACGGAAATGACGGGACCCCGGCTCGGGCAGCTGGTACACCTTGCTGCTGACCGAGCGGTCGCTGTCGGTGTAGGGCGTGCCACCAAAGGCAACCAGCGAGGGCACATCCGAGCGCACGGCTGTGCGCGGCGACTGCATCTCATGCTGCCGGAAGGGGAGCACCTGGTAGTTGAAGGCCTCCAGCAGGTACTGGCGGCACAGCACATCCTCCACCATGATGTCTAGCGTCTGCACGCTGTCCACCAGGTCTGAGGACCGCATGAGCGGGAAGCGGATGTGGCAGAGCACGTGGCTGGCGCGCAGCCGCCGGGCGGGGTCGTGCTGCAGCCAGCGGACGGCCACACGGAACAGGTCAATCTCGGCGCAGCTCTGCAGCCGGTTGCTCTTCAGGAAGAAGACGAGGCGCTCCAGCGGCAGGTGCAGGAAGTCCTCCTCCTCGGCAATCTGCAGGAAGTGCCGGAAGGTGAAGGTGTCCACCGATTCCTTGAGCGAGGCCAGGCTGAAGGTGGTGGCCATGTGGCCAATGTTGAGGCAGGTCTCCACGCTCATGGCGGCCTTGAGGAACTCCTCACACAGCTCCACCACGGGCAGCATCTGCAGGAACACGGCTGCACCCAGCACGTCCTGCACACAGTCCAGGTCCAGTGTCACCTCGGCACTGTAGGCAAAGTCGATGATGTGCTGCAGGCCGCGGGCCGACACGCCCTTCAGCTCAATAACGTCCTGGCTCGTCTCCCTCATGCCGCCCGTGAACATGGCCCTGAAGGTCAGAAACATAGCATGTGGGCTCGGGGCAGCCAAGGGGCACTGTGGCTGCCCGAGCATGGCCTGGCCCCAGGACACTGTGAGCAGGGCACGGCCGGCCAGGGGAAAGCAGGCTGGATGCTCATTAAAGACAGGCAAAAAGGAAAAGACTTTTAATCCACCCCTAGCCATGCATCTTCTTACAAGCAGCAACTCCCCACTCTGCCCCCCTACGTGGAGCCCTGCCTGGCCTCACCCAGAAGTGTGCGGTGCTGGGGCCCAGCTGCCTCAAAGGGCGGGGACTAGGGGCTGCTCGCTGCGGGGCTGGTGCGGCTGTGCAAGAGACGACCAAACCTTGGCTTTGGCTCTGGGGACAGGTCTCCAGCCCCACATTAACACCCAGCCCTGGACGACCACGCCGGCGGCAAGTTCAGGAGACAAGGCAGGGACCCCCAAGGGCACTAGGCACTGTGGTTCACAGAGCCCAGCCCCTCACGTGGGCAGCTGGCTCCACGTTCCCCAGCCTGGGTCACTGTCACATGGGTTGGGGAGGGGTGAGGGTGCCCAGTCAGAGTGTCCATCAGGGGGCGGTGCTAGGGTCCCTGCCATCTCCAGAGGCTTACGTGGTCAGGAAAGCCCCCTGGGAATGGCCCAAAGGAACACCAGCCCATCGTGAGACCCGCCCCCCAGCAGCAAGTAACCCCAGCTCTGTCAGCCGTGCTATCCTGCTCTGAGAAGCAGTGCTAATGTGAGCGCTGCTGAGAGACGTAGGCCCTGGGTCACAGCTCCCCATGGCCTTTGAGGGCCCCCCACCAGGAAGAGGGGTGAGAACCCCAGTGCCTGCTCAGGGTTCATGGCAGGTTCTAGAAGATGGCGTGTGCTCCAGCTTGGGGCAAGCTGGCATTTCATCATAATTATAACTACCATCAGCACACGCCTGTGACAGCCGTCTGAGGGGAGAGAACTTCCCGACATTGCCCGACAGATGTCCGTCCCCTAGTCGCACACCCAGTGGGCCCAGCTCAGGCCCCAGAGGAGGGACAGCTGAGCTTGGTGCTGCCGTGCGGCCACTGACTAACAACCCCCCAACCCTCCACCGCAGTGCTCTACCAGCCCCCTGGACCCTGCCCCTTCTTGTCCCCGCGAGTCCCGTCAGCCCATCGAAGGCAGAAGCAATCACGGTGACGGTGACGGGAGGGAGCATTGCCTTTTAAGGCCTCTCCAACTGCAGTGCCAGCGCAGAGGAGCCTTTAAAGGGCATTTCTGGCTGGGCCAGCCCGCCCGTCCCCAAATCCAGAATAAAAATAGAAGCGGCGCCCCAGATGGCTTGGCTGCTCCAACTCCCCAGAATGGCCCCTCTGAGCCCGTGGGGCGGGCAGCCAGGGGGCGCACCAGGCAAGGCACCCCAGCTGCGAGGAACATGCAGCCCAAGACGGGCACCTGGGATGGCAGGTGGGAACGCTTCGGCCACCCCTGGCAATGTGGGGCTGAAGAACCACCCCCAGGGCGGCACCCCAGCTCTCTCTGGTGTCAGGAGGAAGCTTGCCAGCTGGTCACTAAGGGAATGAGGGAGACTGTCCCCAGCCTGTGACAGCCCCCAGCTGATGAGAATGGCCCCCAGCCCTGCTCCGTGGGGCCCTCGCTCCGCTGCCCAGCCAGGCACAGGGAAGGAGCTTTCAGGAAAGGGCCTTTAGGGTAGAGAGACCTGTACACCCAGCAAGGCCTCACTCATCACGTGGGGCCTTGGACAGAACCTGGCGCACACAAGGGCGGCCGAGCAGGTGTCCCTCCCGTCCGTCAGCCTGGGCACAGGTGCCATGAGGGCAGAGCTCGTGCCTGTCTTATCCCTGCTAAATCCCCAAGGCCTAGAACAGCCCCTGGCACATGCAGGCATCACATACAGACTTAGAATGAAAACCTGACGGAGCCCTGCCACCTCCGCAGGGCAGAAGCTGCTCATCGGGCACCCACCTCTGTGCCCCAGGCATGCTCTGCTTGTCTGCTCAGTGTCCCCCACAAGTCTGAATAAGTAGCAAACCTGGAAAAACCTGCAGGCTTACTGGACTTCTCTCTAAACCCAAAGATGGGCTAACCCCAGCCATCTTCCCTCAGAGCCATCCCCGGCTAGATGCCCAGCCCTGAGATCTTCCCTCTTAGAAGGGCAGCACCCTCCACCCTGCCCCTGGGGGCCCGCGCTCACCTGAAGTAGTCGCTGCAGGCGGCCAGGACCACCTTGTGCGCGTGAAAGGTCTCTTGGTTGATGGTGAGCACGACATCCAGGAGCTGGCCCTGGGCGCGGAGGGCGGCGAGGCCCTGCAGGAGGCTGGTGCTGTGGCCCGGGGCTGAGAAGGTACACTTGAGGGCCCCGTTCTTGTCGGCCATGCTGGGGGAGAGCAGAGGTGGGCAGGTGGCTCACCGGCCTCAGGGCCGTCTGGTCCCTGAGCAGGCTTGGCAGGGCTCTGAAGCTGCCCCGGGTGGAGGCAAAATTGCCAGAACCAGCCCCAGAGAAGTGGAAACCAGGCCTGGGTCCCAATGGTGTCTGCCACCTGCCCACTGACTGGCCGTGGCAGTGGATGCGCCTCTCCAGCCTCCATTTGCCGCCTGTGAAATGGGCGGGGTTTGATGCAGGACCTGCAGAGCCTCCCGCATCCCTTTTTTTTGTATTTGAGATGAGATTCACATAACATTCATCATTTTAAAGTGTACAATTCAGTGGCATAAAATCCACTCACAATGTTATGCAACCATCACCTCTATCTAGTTCCAGAACATTTCAGCACTGTGAAAGAAGACCCACACCCATTACCAGTCACCCCCACAATCCCCCTCCCCCAGCCCCTGGCAACCACTAATCTGTCTCCTGTAACTATGGATTTGCCTGTTTTGATGTTTCCTATAAATGGAATCATGCAACATGCGGTGTTTTGTATCTGGCTTCTTTCACTCAGCCTGATGCCTTCAAGGTTCATCCATGTTGTAGCGTGTGTCAACGCTTCATTCCTTTTTCTAGCTGAGTAATATTCCCCTGTGTGGACACACCATAATTCCTTTATCTGTTCACCCATCTATGAACCTTTGGGTTGCTTCCAACCTTCTCCTCTTTAAAAATTTATTTCATTAGCTTTCATTCTAAAATGACCTGTGCTGGGGCTTCCCTGGTGGTGCAGTGGTTAAGAATCTGCCTGCCGATGCAGGTTTGAGTCCTGGTCCGGGACGATCCGACATGCCAAGGAGCAACTAAGCCCACGTGCCACAACTGCTGAGCCCGCGCTCTAGAGCCCACGAGCCACAATACTGAAGCCCGCGCGCCTAGAGCCCGTGCTCCACAACAAGAGAAGCCACTGCAATGAGAAGCCCACGCACCGCAATGAAGAGTAGCCCCTGCTCGCCACAACTAGAGAAAGCCCGCGCACAGCCACAAAGACCCAACGCAGCCAAAAATAAATAAATAAATAATAGCAAATAAAATGTCCTGTGCCTACTGAGTGCTCGTTTTAAGGAACAGGACTCTCCATGTCACCTCACTGTCCCCTGTGCCCCAGTGAGCCATCCCCACGAGTAAGCCCCTCTTCTCTCCCCTGCAGGAGGCGGGGTGGGATTAGTTGCCAGCGCAGAGCTCCAGCACAGGTCTGAAGGAGGAACTTGAAACCTGCAGCCTCCCGGGTGGCACTAAGCCCCGGGGTTGGGGGTGCCACGGGCCAGCTTCTCACCGTGGGAGAGGGAGAGCCACCTCCAGCGGGTGCTGACCTTCAAGGTCCAGCCACTCTGACACCAGCCAGCATGCCTCTTGTGCCCTGTACCCCAGGGGAGGGCGGCCACACGACCATCAAGTCACCCTGGCCGTTTACGGAAGAATTCGGCCCTGGCTGCACTCGGTGGATGCCCAGTCGAGGGGAAACGCCTGTCAGTCCTACCTTTCAGGGACATGCTGAACAGGCTGTCCGCAGCCCCAGAGCTATAAGAGGACGCAGGAGGACTGAACCCGGGCCCAGGAAACAGGAGGTTGCGTGGGATCTTCCTGTCACCAACGTAAGGAAGCCATAAAACCAAGAATAACTGCCCTAAGATGGATTTACCTATGGGGGCAGTTAGCTGGGGATGCGACAAGTAAAACAGATTCCTGCACCTCAAAATGAGGATGCACAAGGCAAAGGTTGTCTTGGAATAAAAATAAAGTTTTGAAAAGGAGAGGGGTGGAACTAACCCAAATGCCCATCAGTGGATGAATGCATAAACAAAACGTGGTATATGAATACAACGGAATATTACTCGGTCATAAAAAAAAGAATGAAACTGATTCATGCTACAACATGGAAGAAACTGGAAGACATCAGGCTGAGTGAAAGCCGCCAGACACGAAAGGCCACGTGTTACATGATTCCATTTATATGAAACGTCCAGAAATCCACAGAGACAGAAAGTAGATTAGTGGCTGGGGGAGGGGGGGTGTGGAGTGCCCGCCTGAGGGTACAGGATTCCCTTTGGGGTGATGAAAACGTTCTGGAACTAAACAGAGACGATAGTTGCACGACACTGTAAAAGCACTAAATGTCACTGAATTACATACTTTAAAATGGTGAATTTTAGGTTATATGACTTCCACCTGAAAAACAATACAAAACTCAAGGACATCTGAGCCTTCTCAGGTCCTGGGCAAAACCCTGCCATGACCTCCAGGGCCTCACAGCATACAAGGTCCTCTGTGGCCCAGCCCCTATCACTCCCACTCGCTTCCCCTCATGCCCTACCACCCCCCAGCCCCTGTCCCCTTTGCTGTTTCATCTCGGAAAACTTTTGTAGAAATGCAGAGATAAATGAGTAGTTTAGGAGGCCCTAATACATCACTTCCTCCTCCAAACACAACAGAAGCGGGCAATGCCCATCAGCCTCCATGGGGTCAAGAGCCTTCCCAGGACTCTCTCAGCCCCCACACCCCACCCCAGGCAAAGGCCATCCTCCCCAGCCCTCTGCTCTCTCCCCATGGCCTCCGGCTCTCTGGAACTTGCTTTCCCATTCCTGGGACTGACGCCTGCCTCTGCCCACAAATGAGGGCCAGGAATGTGGGCACTGGTCTTTCCAAGAAAGCAGGAAGAGAAAGAAGGCTCCTCGACTCCTACTGCCCACCAGCTCCCAAAACACAACCAAGGGGTAAAAGAGCTGACGCCGGGCACAAGACACACAGTCGCTGCTGACGGGAGGTCCCCGGCTCGCACAGGCCGCCCCCATCAGCGGCCTTCTGCAGAGCCTAGGGAAAAGGGGTAAACCATCCAATGGGTAGAGGGGCTGCAGGGCCCTGGACACTGCCTGCAGGCCTGCGAGGTGCTCAGGGTTCCGAAGGTGTGGGGACGTGGCGGGGGAACAGGGGACGTGGCAGGGGGACACCACCTGCGCTTAGCGGAAAACCATCCTGTCTCTGGGAGGCAGGAACACATGTGACTCAGAGCCCAGCGCTGTGGTCATCTGAGCTGGTGATACTGGGACGCCAGTGGTGTCGGTAGCCAGATCCTGGGTTTGTCCTGGAGGCTGGGTGTGCAGACCGTGGAGGGAGGGAAGGAAAGGGACCCAGGAGGACCCTGAGTCTCTAGCTTGGCTGAGTCGCCTCTCCCCACGAGGTGGAGGGGACGCCCACCTGACACGCCCCCCTCCTCTCCCAGGCAGGAAGCAGCCAGTGCTGCGGCATCCAGCCCATCCTTCCTGACGGGGTCACTGCTCGGATCCGAGTCTCTGCTCTTTTGGTTTCCCAAGAACCCCACCTGACCCATGTTCTGAAGATCACGAAGAGAATGTCATTGGACCCTCAGGATTCAGAAGGCCTCCAACTGTACCCACCCACTGGCCAGGGCTGCCCTCAGCCATACAGGCCCTGCCAGGACATCTCCAGGGACAGGGTCTTGCTGTGTCCTCTCAGCGACACCCTGTGACGGGCCTCTGGAGCGCCGAGCCAAAACCACATCCCACATGAGCCTCCAAGGACCCTTGAGGTGCTCAGATCCATCCCCCCCTCCCCCCCTCTCCTCATGGGCTTTTTTGTCAGCCCCTTGTCTGTTTCTCATGGGTGGGAGGACACAGCATGAATGAGACAGAGCAGACCTGCCCTCGTCGGGTGCACAATCGGGAAATGGGGACCCGAAGTGGTCACATCATCCACAACTGGCTTCACATCGAAGCTGTGAATGTCCCGGGGGGAGGAGACAGGAGCTGGGAGCAGAGAGGTGCAGAGGCCAGAAAAAGTGGGGGTGTCCCCGGCTTCTCCTCCCAGCTCTGCCACCCCTGAGGTTAGACAGTGACGCCCAGCCTCTCCCTGGGAGCAGAGGGCTTGGCTGCATCCTGGGTGTTGGCCCTAAGGCCCGACTTCCACAAACGGCCGCCCCTGTGCAGAGCCACCTCCCCTCCCAAGACGGGCCCCCTCCTGCCTGGGGCCAGGTGCTCCACCTTCCCTGTGCAGCACAGTGGCCTGGGATCAGGGACGGCTGCTGTGACCCCTTGGAACCTCCTTCCCAGGAACAGGGTGCAGAGAAGAGGTGTGTCTCAAACCAGGGGCCGTGTTAAGATGCAGACACAGACGTAGACTTGGCCAGTCTGGGTAGCCCCGGGGATGGCAGTGCTGTTCTCTGCAGATGTCACTCAGCACAGCAGGGGCTGCGGGGTGTGAGGAGGTGACACGCAGACAGCACCTGTGTGCCACTTTCATCACCAGGATCCCCTAGAGTCATCCAAGCCTGGAGCCTGGCCCTGAGCAGAGTGTCTGGAGGGTTGGGCCGGGACCCAAAGCCTGGGAGGTGAATCTTGGCCAGACCCACTCCGGAAAGACTGCCCGGGCTGCACCACGGCCCTTGCTGCTCCAGGCTCTGGCACCTGGTGTGAGGAGCAGAGGGCAGGATTCCGAGGCTGCCCTGCTATCTGCCAGCTGTGTGACTAAGGCACGTTCCCCGGTCCTCTGGGTCTTCATTTTCTCAGCTCTCAAATGGGGCAGGCAGAACTGCCCTGGTGGTCCAGTGGTTAAGACTCCACACTTCCACTGCAGGGGGCACGGGTTCGATCCCTGGTTGGGAAATAAGATCCCGCATGCTGCTCAGCGCGGCCAAAATTTTTTTAAAAGGTGGGAAGGGGCAGGGAGGAGCAGATGTCACAGGGCTGCCATGAGGCTCCCCGGCCCCCATCACCTCCTGGGAAATGAGGGACCACAGACCCCCTACTTCCCCCAGCTTCACTTTGGGCTGGCAAAGTGGGGGGCTACATCCTGCCACCAACCATACAAGCCACTCGCATGCCTTTGAATGGGGCCAAGTGCTTGGGAACTTGAAGCTTGGAACCACCCACAGAGCACCAGCCCATGGCAGGTGTCAAGTGAGCCTGGCTGGCCTCTCTGTGGACACCTCACCT